TTTTTTAAGTGATTAAAAAAAAATATATATATTTTTTTTCTGTAAATGTCCCAAGTGAGATTTTCAGAGAGTTAAATTAAATGTTGAAGTAATATTTTGGTTGCATTTTAAGTTAATAAAATATAACTGGTTGTGTATAATAGGCACATAATATCTTAATATTGAAATTGCAGGCCCTTGAATTTGATCAAAAGTTTTATAAATATTGTATAACAGGTTAAGAGAATCAATGTCAGATCATATCGTAATGAAACATCTGATTTATACCCCTAATGTGCATTCGATATTCACTTCATTTTGTACGTTTTCATGTTGCAGTAGTGGTTTCCTATGTGTTTTGATTCCACAGCACTGCAGTGCCATTGTCTGGAGATGACTCAGGGTTGTGTTCGGCTGTCGTGAAAGGTGAAAACTGCAGAAATTCAGCCTTACCGTTCACTAGGCACTGCTTTCAGCGTATCCTCTCAAAGTTCTTACTCTTTTAATTAGTCAGAACTCAACTCAAATGTACCCGTAAAACATAAGCTGGCTGCTTTTGGATGTTCGTCTGTATTTCAGAACAATTTGTCCTGTGACTTTTCAACAAACCATCTGCTTTGGTGATAGACTACATTTTTACGATTGTCTGTGTTCCCTGTGTTGTGTCCTTAATGGCACTCTGTAGATATCCTTCAGAACCGTTCACAGCAGCTGTTCTCAAGCTGCACCGCTCGCTTTGCAGATGGAGCTCAGTGTTCCATCCCTGTCTTTGACATCACGCACCAGACGCCACTTTGTGATGAGCATGCCAAGAAAATGGTGAGAAACAGAAGACGTTTCATTGCGTAAAAAACTTTTGCTAGTGACTAATTTAACCTTGTGTCGTGTGCTAATGGTGCTTTACAGGACAATTTCCTTCGAGGTGATATCAGCCAGAGAACGTACCGCCACCACCAGCAGATTCAGCGGCACAGACCACTGAAGAAAGACAAGCCTCCAGCACTCACTAAGAAGCATAAGAAGAAAGGAAAGCGAGGAGCACCAAGGCGCCCTCAGAAACCCATTCCTCCCGCGCAGCCCCAGGGTAACCTGGGATTGCCTTCCATCTTGTGCCTGCCCACTCAGCCCTCTGGCATAAGGTGAGAGCCGAGTGTGTTTGAATGTGTGTATCCGTGTGTCTGTAAGTGTGCACTCATCATCTTTGTGTTTTGCAGGAGCCCTTTAACTCCTGATTTAAGTGCAGATGAATTTCCAGATGACATCACCAATGACATCAGCGACATTCCACATGACCTGGAGTTAAATCAGGAGGATTTCTCAGATGTTCTTCCTCGACTCCCGGATGACCTGCAGGACTTTGATCTTTTTGAAGGTAATAGTTTTAATGGTAAGATTTTTCAAAAGAAGTGTCCTATGTTCACCAAGGCTGCGTTTATTCGATCAAAAATACAGTAATATTGTGTCATATTTTTACAATTTAAAGTAGCCATTTTTTATTTCAATATATTTTAAAATATAATTTATTCTTGTGATGGAAAAGTTGAATTTTCAGCAGCCACTACCCCAGTCTTCAGTGTCACATGATATTTCAGAAATCATGTTGATTTGACGCTCAGGAAATTTCTTATTATCAATGGTGAAAACAGTTGTGCTGCTTAATATTTTTGTGGAAGCAATGCTAGTTTTTTTAGGATTTTTTGATGAATGGGAATAGGTAGCGTTGTACAATAAGGTTCCATTAGTTAATGTTAATTAATGTATTAACTAACATGAACAAACCATGCACAGTACATTTATTGCAGTATTTATTCATCTTTGTTAATATTAATGAAAATACAGTCGTTCATTGTTAGTTCATGTTAGTTCACAGCACATTAACTAATCTTAACAAGCGCAGCTTTTGATTTTAATAATGCATTAGTAAATATTTAAATTAACTAGATTAATAGATGCTGTATAAGTATCGTTCATGCATAGTTCATGTTAACTAAAGTAGTTAACTAATGAACCTTATTGTGAAGTGTTACCTGAATATCTTAATTGCCACTGCTTTTGATTATTTCAATGTGTCCTTTCTGGATAAAATACTTATTTTTAAGGCTCCATATTTTAAGATTTGACTGCAAACATAATAAATAAGATGTCTTTTGCTGTGGGGCTGCAGGAAACACTGGCATATAGTAAAAGTTTGACGTTGGAATTTTAAGAATTGATATCTAATTGGAAAATTTATATTTTTTACCCAGCCTTATATAATATCTGTTTTTATATTGTTTTCTGGTAATACTTACTTTCCTTGCTTCGTCGATCTGTTTACAGTAATTTGGTATTCTATAATTCATGTTTGTTTGTCATATAGGCAAGAATAGTGAGCTGTTGCCCACCTCTGAGGAAGCCGAAGAATTGGTTCGTGTTCTGCAGGCCATGGGCTCATACGCAGAATCCCTTGCATGTCTAAGCGGAATGGCTGAGCTTGGTCCCGTAGAAGCGATAGATTGTCGTAGCATGCCGGGGGGAGTCGTGGATCTACTGAGTGGACGACTATCTGCTGAGACTCTCTCCAGCCTGGAGCTGGACCCCAGTCTGCTCCCCACCTCTGAAGATGCTTTCCCCCCATCACCTCCATCACCACAACCCCCTCTCACTCCTCCATCCTCTGCGGGGCAACTCACAGACAGCACATACCCACCGAGACAACCTCATCTCCTAGCGAAGATGGATAACTCCAAAGTGAATCTGAGCAATCTGCCGTTTGGAAAGGACGAGGACATCTCTCATGGCTCCTGGGGCGTTCTCGCCCTCCCCCTCAACGACTCCTCACAATTTCACAGCCTTATTGCCTCGGATGGCCTGCTGATGTCCACAGCCCTCTCAACGCCAATGACCCCCGTGTCCTCGGCCCCCTGTCAGCCCAGTTCGGCCCTCTCCGCTTTGCCTCAGACTGTGCCGGTCACTCGCTCCACACCCACATCCTCGCCCTCCTCACAAACATCCCAAACCAAGCACCTTCTCCCCACACTGTTCAACCACTGTGGGATCCCAGCAGACTTGCAGCCGCACCACAGTACACCGGCGCCACCTATGGACCAGGCCTGAACTGCAGGCGGAACCAATTTGCTACAGTCACAGTGTTCAGGGAACATGTTGCAGGTGATTTTTTTCTCTCCCCCAAATGTCAGGGTCATTCTGTCCATCTTCTCAGTCCTCTGCATCGTTTTCCCTCAACAAGAAAGAACATCAAGCAATAAATTTCCTTGTCTGCTTAAAAATAGTTGCTTTTTTCGAAAAGCAAACATAGATGGATTTTAGCCATTAATATCACTTGTATCCTTAAATGCATATTTAATATATTTATAAAGTAGCAGTCTGCACAACTAGTTTTATTTAAAATGTGTGGTAACTGGTGAAAATGTGGTTCTTGCTTAGAGGTAATGGGCAAGTTTGTCAGTGGCAAACACAAGGGGAAAGGTGTCATGGTTGTATCACTATTTTGTCCCATGTAATGATTAAAAAACGTATTGTTTTGGCAGATGGTGTTTATGTGCTTTTAGTAGCCGTTAAACTATGGGGTCTTGCTCTGAGTGTAAGTGCCTGCCATAAAAGCTGTGTAACACCTTTATAATCAGTGTATTGCAAATCAACAAAATACACATTGCATTGTCACTAAGTAAAAATCTGTAAATGCACAAAATTTCACTCTTGAAAACATGAAAAGTTGCATTTACTCCCTGTTTTTGACAAGTAATTACCTTCTCACGTTACCGTAAAGTTACTTGAGGGTGTTAAACTTCGATTCTGAATGTTCAGTGTGCTCCTGTGTAAGGCCTTTAGCTGAAGTGATAGCAGTTGTGGGAAATAAATGGTGTAAAGCTATAGTTATCTTGTTATGGCTTTTAAAGAGAGTAGTTATGATGCCTTTACCCTCATGTCATGCCAAGTCTACATTTGCATTTTCCTGTTTATCTTTGTTGCAGATGCTTTTTTACCAAAAGTGGCTTTTAAGAAAGCCTCTTTTTATGTCCACATCAGAAAATATCTATATATCAGTATATCTAACTGACCAATATAATGAAATTGTGTTTGGGCAGTTAAGCTTTTAAAAAGAACAATGACGTATAACCTTAATTCGGTATCTTTATAAAACGGATAATGGTATAAAATTGTGGTTTGGTAGACTTGCCGTTGTACCAGATAATGCTGCTTTTACCAACAACAGGCATACTGACAGAAATCCTTGCACACCGAGGGTCGTCTCATATACTTTTTATACTTATTCACTGAATGTATCAAGTCAACGAAAAAGTTTATTATAACCTATTAAAATGGTATGGTCCTCTTCTTTGTTCAAGGTATTTTTATGTATTGACACGTTTACTTTTTGTTACTTAAGTGCTTGGATGTGGGTGTGGGTGTGTAGACAATGTGTAAGAGAAATTATATTTGTTTTATTTGAAATGTGTGAAATAAAACTGCTATGACCACGACTTTGTGTGCACTCATTATTTCAGTGTGCTGTCAACAGCAATTTGCGAGTTTTGTGTTGCAAAGAAGACACTGTGATAGCACTACAAGACTGCAATATCTGGATTAAACTAAAAAGTACCAGGCACAGAGATGATTCATAAGGTATAGGACCTTTGGCTGGCTTTCTAAACATTGTAATTGCAAACTAGGAGCTGTTAAATTGTAATATTTTAACAACTGATTTAACAGTGGACTTCTACGTTGTCGACGTGAATATTACTTGGAAAAAAGGCAGAGGGCGCCAAAGGAATTATAATGTGGTCTAGTCTTCTGCAATGAGCCCTGTTGAAAAAAACAGCATATGCTGGTTAGGTATGTTTTGACGCTGGGATGCTGGTTTAAGCTGGTCCTTTGCTGGTTTATGCTGGTCCTTTGCTGGTACCAGCAAAGGACCAGCATAAACCAGCAAAGGACCAGCCTGGACCAGCTCAAACCAGCATCCCAGCGTCAAAACATACCTAACCAGCATATGCTGTTTTTTTCAACAGGGAGAATATTAGAGATTGGGAATTTTGATTCATCCCAGTGACTCAAATCTTTTGTTAGTTAACAAAAAAGATGAGTTTGTTCTGTGTAGACTATATTATATCCTTTTATCAAATAAACAAATGTATTTTTGTCTGTTGAATGATGTCCTCAACCAATGCGTTAAAATGTGGACCGAAACGTACTTCGAATGAAATTCGAGAAATGACCACAAAGAAGAACTATTTTTGTTTCATTTGGTCGACTTTTAGAGTAGGCTACAAACGAGGTGCCGTGCTAGTTTCGTTCACGAACGAAATGTCCTTCATTCAGTTCCGAACGAGCTGACCTTGTTCAGTTCCGTTCCCATTCTCGTTCAGAGAACAACTAATCGTTCAGTCAAGGCCAAGGGGTGTATGTATTCGTTAAGCAGGTCAACCCGTCAATCTTGAGGCGTAGGGGCGAGCTTGTTTTAATGGGGCACGAGCCCCAGACAGTTAAATATTACTGATAAATATCATTATTATTATACATGATATCCATTACACCGACCTGAGAATAATTTCCCCTTGTATTTAAGCAATAATGCCCTGTTTAGAATCAGAGCTAAATGCAGGGGTCGCGAATGAATCACTCTTTTAATCATTCAAACGACTTGAAAAAGAAATCGTTCGCGATTCGGTTTGATTCATTGGGGTAGTTCATTCACGCAGCCGTTTCTCACACATAAGAAGAAAAAAAAAGGATTTATAACCATAAAAGTATATATAAAAAGATATATGGGGACACTTTTTGACCGACAGGGGGGCAGCAGGCTGTTAGTCTAGAAACGCTGTTAAAACGGTTCGTTCAAAACTACAGACTCGTTCACGAATGAAATGCTTCTAGTGTATATGACAAGTTGGAGTGAAATACACGATTCTGTCTGATATAGCAGAGATACGAAATGAGGTATTCTGTGTATCTTCCCACCGCTCGAAATTAGTAACATGAAACAAGCGTTTAAGGATGACGACGATACTGCTCATAATGCTAATGCTGATGCAAATCTATTTCCCTTCATCGCACCGCTAAGAGGGGCGCGAGGATGCTCCTCCGCGCGAGCCCGGGGCTCTGGCGTTACCTAGCAACGGCCCCCATACTGTACTCCCGCTCTAAGTGCCTGGCTGGCTGCCTTCAACTCCGGCGCTGTTTCTATTTCTGTTGTAGCGTTGCAGTCGCCGTCTGCTAAAACATTCATAGCACAGTCCTCTTAGCATGTGGCTTCTTCGGTAATGTTTCAGTTTGAAGCACTACCCTACCCAACGCGCCGCAGAGTGATACTGACAAATGGCGCGTCAAATGATGGGTGACAGACCAGTTAATCACGGGCTGCCGTCTCTGGGGACGCGCTGATTGAGTCTGATGTAATGGATGTTATTATGGCCAGTGACATGACAACTGCGACCTCATGCACAGACGTGTTTCCCACATAACAATTGTTAAAGCAGGTGGCGAGAAAATGTGGTAACGGCGGTTTCTCTCACGCTTTTGGCGAGGGGAACAAGCAGAGCTGAAGAGGGAGGGAGAGGACGGAGAGACTGGCAGAGGGAAATGGCAGTTGCATAAACTGTCACAGTGATGAGATTTTATCATTATGGCTCCAGATATGCCAGGGCTGCCGTTAGGCCATGACAAGGTTTAACGCCCCCATGATTCCACATGAACAGCTTCTACAAGCGCAATCGTGTGGAAGTATCAAAGTGGTCCAGTGCATAATGGTGCATTGCACGTATCTGTTAACGTCAAGGCCTCTTGACCTGCAGGCACCGAGGTAAACTGCTGGAGCGAACACATTTCACAATGCCTCAGAAAATGGATTGTCCTTAACACCCACACAGTTATTTCAGTCCAATAACCAAATGTTTTTTTTTTTAGCTGTTCATCAGCCTCTTCGTTGCTGTTGTTATAGGCTAGCCAAAGTGTGGGTTCACATCTTGTGAATTGCTAATATTTTGATGAGACCTCTTTTCAAAAACTGAGACCTGTAACCTTTTTAATAAGTTTAAAGGGATAATCCATCCATGAAACTTCTGTCATCATTTACTCACCCTCTCGTCGTTCCAAACCTGGACATTTTTAAAAAGCAGCTGCAAACTCGCTTGTTCAAACTTGCTTTTGTCTAATCTGTTCTTTTAATTGTTATGTCTATTTTTATTTTATTTTTTACAATTTTGATGTAAAGCACTTTGTGACACTTGCTCTTGAAAGGTGCTATAGAAATAAACATTACTTACTTACTTACTGTATGACCTTTTTTTTCTTCTGTGGAACATTAAAGAAGATATTTTGAAGAATGTTGGTAACCAGAAAGTTTCGGTACCCATTGACTTCCATTATATGGACAAAAATAGAATGAAAGTCGATGAGAACCAAAACTGTTTGGTTACCAACATTCTTCAGAGTATCTTCTTTTTAAGAGTCTATTAAACCATTGATATTAGTTGCTTTTTATATATGTGAGTGTTATGGATCACTGCAAATTGTGTCTAGTACACTATGAACAATGTGAACAGATGTATTTTGTGTATTTAGAGGCACTATGGATCTTTTTACAGCTGGGAACTGATTGCAAGAAGAATTGATTCTTCGATTCTGACGTGAAACAAGGGCCAACTCCCAAGGGTTGAAGTCTGCAGACGATTTATTCTATCCAACACTAATAGCACCCTAATATTCAACTAATTTGATGTCAGATCAGATATCAATTGTTCACCAGTTAAGTCAGTTCACTCTGTGTAGTCCCATTTTAACTTAACCCATCAGATTTTTGACACTAGTAGTAACTTTGTTTTTATAATTTAACTATTAATTTAATTGAAATATGTTAAATGTTTTCTACAAAATGCAGTATGTGTTACAAATAAGGGGAGGCTTAAAAATAAAGGTTCCAAAAGTGCGGTTTCACAGTGATGCCATAGAAAAAACATTTTGGGTTCCTCAAAGAACCTTTCAGTGAACAGTTTTTAAAAGGAACGTTTTTTTTTTCTGAGTGTGAAGAACACTGCTATAATCTAAATAATATTTTCCACTATAAAGAACCATTTGTGGAATGGAAAGTTTCCGTGGATTTCTGTGAAATTTGATTCTTAATGGAATCATATAGATGCCAATAAAGAAACTTTAATTTTAAGAGTGAATGAAATCATGCCTTCATGAACCAACATATTTTTTCTTTTTGTAATTTTATCAATGTCGGTTCAAGGTTTTTTATTTGTAGTGACACTAATGCCTAAAATTGCTTAAATCATTCTCTAGTAATGATGCATGATGTGTCACACAGAGAATTTTATTTTTGCTCAAGATTAAAAAAAGAATCATCTTCATTGATTCCAAATCCTGGAATCAGACAGCACCAGATCTATTAGCTATATGTAATCTTTTAGTCTTTTTACTGAATATGGTCTTTAAAAAGGCATGTCTGTATATCTAATCATAGCTTTTCTTTACGTCTTTAGAACAATCAAGTGTTAAATTGAATGGATGATCTGCCACAAACTGTCTCAAGTGCATCACCCGGATACAACAAGCTGGTAAATGGCACACTTTCTCTGAAACACACCTCAGAACAGACAGCACATTGTCCCTGTCCCTGCAGGGAATATCCACACGGATAGAGCATCCTGTTCCTACAATTTGATGCTGCCTTCACGTCCATCCAGCCCTTAAGCCATTATTTATCTGTGGCAAGTGCCATCCTGTGCCAACCTCAAGACTTATATAAAGTGGCCCTGGACAGGACCCTTTTTGTCCTGTGTGAATTAAATTAAACAGTTAAATTGCTATTGAACTGGGAAGTATAAGATTTCTACTTTGATCTGCTATGTACCTAATGCAAACCAGTAAACACGTACAGTTGACCCAGACGTCTGGAGATTCTTACCACCTTTAAAACAGCAAAGATTTGACCGGGAGGTTATTAACAAAGGATTTGCCTTTGTTTATCTATAATTAATGTGTAAGAGCCTTTCCCCATCTATTCCATCATCAAAGTAGTTCATTTTAAATGAGAGTGATTTAATTGTCACCATTGGAGAGCAGAAACAATTTAGGAACTCATTAATGGTTATTTGAAAGTACATTAATTTAGCTAATCTTATATAGGATGGGATTAGATCGCTAAGTATGGAACTGATGAAATGAAATAAGGAGCGTTTGACATCGGGCTGCAGGGGAAAATAAATTAAAAGGGATGGCAGGTTCTGAGAGCTCTCTGAAGAGACGAGCAGGTCACAGCAATAATGCTCTTTAAGCAGAGCAGGCTGACCTTCACAAACCCCTTCTTTTCATCTGAATCTGACATTTAGTGACAAGATAATATTCTCTCTGAATTTCACCAGCTTCCTTTTAGCACACACACACACAGACACACTCTTTTATAATTAGCTTCCTGCTGATAGAAGTTCAAGATATTGGTCCCCTGTGGAGAGTTAATGTGTTAATGTTTCTT